TATCGCGTATTTGTATGACAGGGAACAGGAAAAAAAGGCTTTGCTGGTCTGATCACTTCCTGACAAGCAGAGGCTGCCTAATGAAAAAGGAAGCTTTGATAGCTTTCATTACAGACATATTTATACTATATTATCTCTGTATTTATTCATATCTTCACATAGCATAGAGTAGCAGAAGTATGCCAACATGACTTAACTAATAATAGATTTCATTTATTTTTAGTAGATCAAAACAAATAAGCTATATATAATCTGTCTTCAAATGTCAATGGCAGACATTTATATTAATCAATTTGCCTCCAACAGCCAAGAGTCGATGGTTATGAGCTTTACAGACACTTTTGGCAGTGACACAATGGGGGCGATTTACTAAAACTGGTACACTCAGAATTTGGTGCAGCTGTGCATGGTAGCCAATCAGCTTCTAACTCCAGCTTGTTCAATTAAGCTTTGACAATAAAACATGGATGCTGATTGGTTTCTATGCAGAGGTGTACCAGGTTTGCACCATGCAGGTTGAGTAAATAATTCCCAGTAAAACTGTTCTAAGCTATTTTAAACTATTAAAGCTAGTAAACCCAAAAGTCAATATGAAATATATTGCAGCTTACTAGTCTTTAGATGTGGTGGCTGCATTAGCTTTCTTTTTGTTCTCTTTCTCCTTCTGTTTTCACCTGGTGATCTAGTCACTAACACCCCTCCTTTCTGGGGGGAAGGAGCACAGGGGACACCTTTGGACAGTAGCATTGTCATTCTGGGTGGAGGGGAGTGTTAGATGAACTAGATACACTAAACAAATTAAAGCCAAACTCCAGCTAACACTTTATAAGCAGTTACAGCCACAGTTATCTCCATTTAGGATAGAGGTTTTACATAAACAATGAAAAGCTAATCGTTGTAAATACCCTCTGTCAGTGTTTAACGGTTTGTCTCAACCCACTAACTGCCACATCTGCAGGACAGTTTGTTCCGTTGTAAAACAACAGACTTACTAGCTAGATCAACAGGTAAAAAAGAAAGCAAGCAATCCTAAAAAATAAAACAAATTCAGCCATGACATCTAAAATTGGCAAGCTACAATATAATAAATGCATGCTTTTGGGTTTAATACTGTTTTAAATGTATAATGCAAAACTTTTAAAGAGCAGACATCTCATAATTCTCCCATATGGATTCCTAAGAAATGGTTTCATCGCATAGAGACCCAGTTTAGGAGTCTTATTTGGAAAAAAAAAGTAGCTAGGATCAAGTAGCTAGGATAAAACTGTCCACATTGCAATATAGCAAGGAGTCAAGGGCTCAGTTCCTGAGCCCAGACTTTATTTTCTGGCGGCCCAATTGCAGCAACTGGTTGGCCTGATAATACTGATCCCATTATCAGATTGATTTCCCTTCCTGATCCCACCATTTCGGCTCCTTCTCATCTTGAAATGGCTCTACTGGTCCTTCCATCCACAGCTCCAACTGCGGACCTCTTGAAGCGCATATGGAGTACAGTAAAAGCATCCTTTCATATTACTGGCTTTTTCTTTCCTGTACTCCCTTGTGGAATTTTTTTCACGACTGGGGGGATCGTGGCCTGAAATTTGTATCTCAGATGTATTTAGGGGCAATCCTAAAGTCCTTTTCTCAACTGCAAATGGAATTTACATTTACACATAAGCATTTTTATTGTTATCTTCAGCTACGCCATGCAATACAGGCTCAGTCTTCGCTCTCTAATCTCACATTGACAGACTCAGTTTTTCTTAAGGATGTCAATCAGGCAACCCACAAGAAGGACATGATTTCTCGGGTATACTCCCAGCTATTGTCCACAGTACAGGATCAAGCTAGTCTCCGGAGCAGGACGCAGTGGTCCCGAGATATTTTAGAGTTTGCTGGAGATGTCTGGGATGCTGCCCTGGATTCTGTTCTGGGAATTTCTCTTTCTCCCTCTCAAAAAGTGTCTCAATTGTTTAGTCTCCATCGAGCATATAGGAACCCTGTGCAACTGTATCGGTGGGGCAGGCAGGATTCACCTGATTGTCGAGGTGTAGGGTCCAACACGGTGATTTCATTCATATGCTCTGGCGTTGCCCCAAGTTACATAGATATTGGAGTGAGGTTCTCCAATTTATTTCTCTAGTATCGCAATATACTGTTCCCCAGGATACTTGCATTGTCTGTTGGGGGCACTGGACCAAGAACTGTTCCAACCAGGAGGGTATATCATGGTATCTACACGTTTATATCTGGCTAGGAAGTTGATAGCAAGGTACTGGTTATCATCGGCTCCTCCGACTAGTAAGCAATGGATAGATTGTTAATTCTTTACTCCCACAGGAGAAACTCACGTACCAACATCGCAATGCTTACCGTAAGTTCCAGCAGGTATGGCAGGGTTGGCTGGATACACGTGGGCTCGCCCCTCCTCAATTGAAAGTGGACCAACTTCTGCAGGTGTGATATTTTATAGCAGGTGTGTGGCTCCACTCCTTCCCCTGGGGGAGTTCATGTGCATCTCCTATTCAGTTTGATGATACGTCTCAGGTGAACTAGAGGTTGCTGTTGATGTTTTTTTTTTTTTAATCGTTTGAAGACATGTTTTGGGCTTTGTTCCTTTCCCCCATTTCTGTTTACATCCGGTCGAGAAGGAATAAGACGTAAAAAGGAAAAAGCAAGATATTGTCAAGAAAGTTTTAGATTCTTGTGGTCTCTGTTTTGTTTGGTTACCATTTCTGTTATTCTGTTTATTACGGTATCTGCATATCCACGTTGTTCCATTTATGTGTAATCCTGCTGTTGCAGTAATGTCATTGTGGATTCTGTAAGTACTGCTCCATTTTCTCTATTATCTTGACAATAAAAGTTGTTTGGATTTAAAAAAAAAAAGAGCAGACATCATACAATGTCTGATTTTACCTTCATTAGCCAGAAAAGTCTCTGATGCAGTTTCTGTTGTTATTGAGGCCTGACTTTATGGCTAAGCACTGCCATCTGCTATCCCTCTGTCCAATAAGTGTGCCCTAACTGGCCACTAAAACATTCTCATTGGACCATTTGATAGTGAAATACCATTTGGGGGTCACTTAGCCATAAAGTTAGATCCCACTAACATTTTTATTGCTAATTTATTTTAATATTTCACAATTGCTCATGTGTATAAAATAAGGAATAACTGGTTAATCTGGACAACAAATCAAATATAAATTTCTACATAAGCATGGTGACATCATTATATAATTCTAGGCACACAAAGGTGGTTGTAAATATATATGTAGTACACATAGATGTTTGTCCATATCATAACATTTTGGTAACTCGCCAAGCACAATATGGTGTGCCAGTCAATGACTTTATCACTTTATTTTATAGAGGAAGGTTAACCTGACAAAATATTAAAACATAAAATTAAATAAACATAGGCCTCTGTGTTGTTTGCAGGAAAGCATAAAGGACAAACAACCAGGGCGAAAATAGAAATACCTGTCATTTATTATTTAAAGGATCATTAAAAATGCATAATCCTCGTTCTTTATGACAAAAGGGAGCAGCAGTGCTGAGCGGCACAAAGGCAGACAGTAGGATAGAGGTGAGAAAGATGGACAGATAAGTGGAATGATAGGTAAAAGGCAGGCATTCTCCTAAGGCTGTCTATTTGGTATACCCATAGAAAACAACGAGATTTGGAAACCCATTAACAGACATAGCCATTGCTAGGTTGTTGCTACTTTCTTTGCAACGTGCATAGTTAAAGAATTGTCGCTGGTTTCCATGGAATTGGAACCCTAGATAAGGCTTTGACTGAGTCCTTGTCCAATCATACTGTGCCCCATGAAATAAGCAACTATCTCTAGCAATGCTCAGTTTTGTTGAATCGCTTGCAAATGTTATATGTGCTTATCTACTACAGCAGACAGCAAAGCGTGGTGCAGTATATCACAGCCACTGACCTGGCTACAGAAAATTGTAAACTGGTGTGTTTCTATGTCATTCTGCACATGGAAAATCATCATTGCCCTTTGCAGTGTTTCTTGAATCGACCTAAGTCAATTACCTGAGTTGGCCAATTATGATAGTAATATGCATGATCTGTAAGCATCATCATCTTACGGTAGCCATATACTACTACTGTTACTAAGAATAATAAATGCATTCTAATAAATAAAAAGCTCTGATATCCTCTGTAGGCATGTACACATCTGCTTGTTGATTAAAAAAAAGCATTTCGTTACTATGGGGTTGATTTACTAAAACTGGAGAGTGCAAAATCTGGTGCAGCTGTGCATGGTAGCCAATCAGCTTCTAATTTCAGCTTGTTCAATTAAGCTTTGGCAATAAAACCTGGAAGCTGATTGGTTTCTATGCAGAGCTGCACCAGATTTTCCATGGAACAGTTTTAGTAAATCAACACTAATGTGTTCATATTAGCCACAATAAATAGTGAAAAGTCATTTTTTCCAACTCATCCAGATACAGAAAAACAAAGTCTGCAACAATAAACATTTATGTAGGCAATGAAAATAACTTTTATTTCTGTTTACTAGACACAGAACAGATCCATGGTCACATAAAATGTAGTCACTGCGAAAAGGGTATAATCAAAAATACAAACAAAGCAGTATACTGTGAAATACACTCTTTATAGATGAGGTTGGATGTTGGTAAAAAAAAGTGGTCACCTTAAAGCACGAGGGAATGAACATCTGCGCACATATAGGCTGAAAATTATATAATCAAATAAAGAAATGTATATTTTTTGTTGGGTCTGTCATAACTGGTGTCGGCTCAGTAGCCTGGATGCAGAATAGTTACCTAGGGCAGCATGATTGAAAAAAGGGGATCGGCAGCAACTTGGGTACCCTCCTGATTTACAGCAAAGTCTATGGAGCTGAAAGCCCTACCTGTATCTCCTCTTCCTGGGAATATGTACACTATATTGCCCAAAGTATTGGGACACCCCTCCAAATCATTGCATTCAGGTGTTCCAATCACTTCAATGGCCACAGGTGTATAAAATCAAGCACCTAGGCATGCAGACTGCTTCTACAAACATTTGTGAAAGAATGGGTCGCTCTCAGGAGCTCAGTGAATTCAAGCATGGTACCGTGATAGGTTGCCACGTGTGCAATAAGTCCATATGTAACATTTCATTGCTACTAAATATTCCACAGTCAACTGTTAGTGGTGTTATAACAAAGTGGAAGCAACCGGGAACAACAGCAACTCAGCCACAAAGTGGTAGGACACATAATATGACAGAGCGGGGTCACCGCATGCTGAAGCGCACACTGCACAGAAGTCACCAACTGTCTGCAGCATCAATAGCTTAAGACTTCCAAACTTTGTGCGGCCTTCAAATTAGCACAGCAGTGCATAGAGAACTTCATAGAATGGGTTTCCATGGCCAAGCAGCTGCATCCAAGCCTTACATCACCAAGTGCAATGCAAAGCATTGGATGCAGTGGTGTAACGCACACTGCCACTTGACTCTAGAGCAGTGGAGACACGTTCTCTGTAGTGCCAAATCACGCCTCTCTGTCTGGCAATCCGATGGACGTGTCTAGGTTTGCCGGTTGCCAGGAGAAAGGTACTTGCCTGACTGCATTGTGCCAAGTGTAGAGTTTGGTGGAGGGGGGCTTATGGTGTGGGGTTGTTTTTCAAGGGTTGGACTTGGCCTCTTAGTTCCAATGAAGGGAACTCTTAAGGCGTCAGCATACCAAGACATTTTGGACAATTTCATGCTCCCAACTCTTTGGGGATGGCCCCTTCCTGTTCCAACATCACTGCGCACCAGTGCACAAAGCAAAGTCCATAAAGACATGGATGAGTGAGTTTGGGGTGGAGGAACTTGGCTGGCCTGTTAGGAGTCCTGACCTCAACTTGATAGAACACCTTTTGGATGAATTAGAGTGGAGATGGCGAGCCAGGCCTTCTCCTCCGACATCAGTGCCTGACCTCACAAATGCACTTCTAGAAGAATGGTCAAACATTCCCATAGACACGCTTCTAAAGCTTGTGTAGAGCCTTTCCAGAAGAGTTGAAGTTGTTATAGTTTCAAAGCATGGGCAACCTCAATATTGAACACTACCGACTAAGACTGGGATGCCATTAAAGTTTATGTGCGTGTAAAGGCAGGCATCCCAATACTTTTGGCAATATAGTGTATGTAAAGGCCAGCTCTAGCATATACATTTGTGTTTGTCTAACAGAGATGGTTGCTGCGAGTTAGAATACAAAGAAAACCTGAGATGTATGCCTTGCAATGGATAACTTTGGTTACTTGAAGCAGATAGAAAATAAAGGTGGCTAAGACAATCTGAAACTGAAATCTTTATGTGCAATTTGCCAATGTTCTGTGTTGCTGTTTTTTTCTTACCTTGCTAAAAGGAGAGTTCTTGAAGTATTATATATATATATATATATATATATATATATATATATATATATATATATATAGAACAAAATGGTGCTGGACTCTTGGTTTCACTTTTTTAGAAACGTCATATATACCAGTGGAATAACTGGCTTTTGGCTACGCTGTCCATGAAGTTATGAGACCACATTATCCTAGAAAGGACACAGGATTGTAAAATCTGCCCAATGATGAAAGTGAATGTAATGTGTAAAAATAAAAACATTAACCAATTTAAATATGCACATTGGGGTTGATTTACTAATTCTGGTGCAGCTCTGCATAGAAACCAATCACCATTTGTTTTTCTTTTATTAGAAGCTGATTGGCTACCATGTATAGCTGCACCAGATTCTGAGTGCTCCAGTTTTAGTAAATCAAGCCCAGATGAGGCACCTAGCTAATAGGTGGGAAGCCTCACTTCTGTCATTCACTGTGTGCTGGTAGTAATATGGAGTCATGTCAGAGCTTACTGAGCTTCAAAGAGCAAATTGTTGGCACCCAATTAGCTGGTGCCTTTGTGACTGAGGTTGCCAATTTATTTGCCATGTCGCGAGGTACAATATCAAAGGTTATGACGGCTTATACAGTTTCCGGGAAAATGTTGTCTGATAAGCATAAGCGTGGTCGACATGGTCAACTGACCGAAAGAGAAAAAAGTTCATTGCGCAGGATTATGACCCAGAATAAGAAAACAACTGCTGCAAAAGTGACTGCAGAACTCAATCACAGTCTTCTACTATTCAGCAATGCATGCATATGCATCAAAACCTACATATCATTATATGTTTATTTGCAAACACACAGTATAATATTTACATATAATTATATGTTTATATGTAATGCTAAATAATATGTAGTGTTTATAAGTGATGTCATTATCTTGCTCAGTATCATTACCTTGCTCAGTATTACTGTTGTGATTGCAGTGTGCCTGGCATGACCAACCATGGTATGCAATGCAAGAGATTTACTAAAACTGGTGCACTCAGAATCTGGTGCAGCTGTACATGGTAGCCCATCAGCTTCTAACTTCATCTTGTTCAATTAAGCTTTGACAATAAAACCTGGAAGCTGATTTCTTTCTTTGCAGAGATGTACCAGATTTTGCACACTTCAGTTTTAGCAGTTATAGTAAATATCTCATATCTATGTTCCTGTGAACAAAACCACGTGCCTTTAATAAAGAGGCACAATTATCAAAAGTATTGTAGCTTTTCTGTTTGAACAATTCACAGATTTTGACCCAGGTTAGAGGATACTAAAGTTTGATATAGGTAAGGTTGGAACATACAATTTGATCAAAATATACTATATATATATATATATATATGTATATACACACACACACACTGTTTTTATATATATATATATATATATAGTTATTATATATATATATATATATATATATATATATATAGTGTGTCTATAAATATATATACATATATATATTTATAGACATATATATATGCAGTGTGTGTGTGTGTATGAGTATATATATATATATATATATATATACACACTGCATATATATATATATATTCATACACACACTATATATATATATATATATATATATATATATATATATATATATATATACTGTATATATATATATACAATGTGTCTATAAATATATATACATTTAAAATATATATTTATTTATAGACACACACTGTGTATATATGTATATATATATATAGTGTGTGTGTGTGTGTATATATATATATATATATATATATATAGTGTGTGTGTGTAAATATATATCTAACCTTACCTATATCAAACTTTAGTATTCCCTAACCTGGGTCAAAATCTGTGAATTGTCCAAACAGAAAAGCTACAATACTTTTGAAAATTGTGCCTCTTTATTACAGACACGTGGTTTTGTTCACAGAAACGTAGATATGAGATATTTACTATAACTACTAAAACTATAAAATATACTATATTTTATATTACATGATTTATATTACATTGAGTAACTAGTCAGTACAAGATGAAAAGTGTCTGAATAATTGAAATTTTCAATAAGATACACACGTTTTACACCAGCTAGAAAGTCATAACTATAATATGCAATAAATAATACTGGACTGCCACTTTTGCCTGGGGCAAGAGGTTATGAGTATGATGTAAAGCTAATTATGTCCACATCAGCCCATTCTATTTATAGATAACAGACGGTTAATAAAAGGTCATACCTATGGTAACTTTAATCCTGAAAGCGTGCAACGCTGGCATTCACTGAAATGTTACTATAGCTTGTAAGAACTGAACCTTAACATCTGTTAAGTAATTTACTGCAAACCAAATAAATATTGCACTGGATTTCAGAACCGAGAGTAGCATTTCTGTAGAATCATGGCTTTGAAAGCATTTCATTAAATAAACATCTTTCTGGCATCATTAAAGCACATTTCTAACATAGCCAGCAGCTCCTTAAGACTAGTGACCTGTTTAAGTTGTGACGAAAGCTGGAATTACAAAGCCTACCAAGCAAACAGGAAAGTATCAGTCAACAACAGAGCGCTTGCTTCTGCACATTCATTTCACAGAGAGGCACAATTCAACTTTTCCTCCATCCTAAATGAAGCCCTCGTTTTTTTATTGTTTTAAAACCTCAGTTTTATTTTGTTTGTGTCTACACACATAAAAAAAAGGTTGTTTAAATTATTTAGGCTGATATATGACCCCCTCCCCTCTCTGGAGCCATCTGTTCTCTCAATGCATCCATAAGGTCAAGGAACCTACTCCCCCTGGAAGTGATTAAAGAGCAGCAAGTCTCCTTCCATGCATGTAGGCAGACATGTGAGTAGGGAGCACCTGTGCCTAGACGGTAGCCCCAGGAGGTGAGCTGATCAGCCAGGGGATGAGAAGTAAACCTGGTCCTTTCTATTTGTCAATGAGCAAACCTAGTGTGTCACCCTACCCCAAACAACCCAGCCCTAATGGTGTCAGCTTACAAAAAGTATTACGCTACCCTCTGCTTTGCTTGGTGTAGGACCAACCAGGGGAAAAGGCTTTGACGCAGCTGGCCAGCTCAGTCCGTAGGACGCTGCGTGGAATCTCTATTTTAATGGAGTTAAGCAGGGCTTAAGTCTGTCCAGAAGGGGATCACCCAGCCCAGCTTTCTCTGTTGCTTCACACACCAGAATAAGGATCCTTATTTAAAAAAAAAAAAAAGTGGCAGTTATTTTCAGCTGAGATGCAGAAATGACAGTCACATGGCTAAGATATCCATAGGGGTTGCTGACGAACCCCTGTGTATCTGGCCAGCCTTTTGTGTTCAAACTGCAGCAGGAGCCTGGGTACACAATAGAGATTGCAGCATGCCTTCCACATGAAAGCATTGTGTAAACACACATCTCCTCCTACTCCTCCCCATAGCAGTGTGCTGGCTTACCTTCAGGCAGGCTCCTGGCTCTTTGCTGCACCCTGAAGATGCTCAGCTCAGCAGTGCTATTGTCCCAGCTTCTTCCTGTGTGTGTGTGATGCTGGGGGTGAGGCTGTCAGGTGCTCGGCTCGGCTCGTCAAGCTGTCACTGCATGCAGGTCTATGTGCATCTGTCAGGACCGCTCTCCTCCAAAGCTCTAGAAAAGCCCTTGTCGCTGCTGAAGTGCTGGACAGCTCATTGCCATAGACACACTCGAGCAGAACTGAACGCCTCCAGCGCTGCCTGCCGCTCACAGCGCCACCTAGAAGCGAGGAGTGCGCACGCCATGATATGCAGCCTTCTACTAATCTCGTGTATCCCTAGGAGAGAGAATTATCCCTTCTCTGCCGGCTGTACATCTGCCAATCTCATCAGCAACAGCGGGGCTGCCAGAGCTGAAGCTGGAAGGAATAGTTCCTTGTCTAGGCATCGTCTACACGCACGTTCACAGCCATTACTGCATACAAGGCAATGGATCAACACCCCAAGGATTTCTGTTGTTTCGGATAGTGTAGGTAAAGGTGGGTACACACTGATTGATTGATTGATTGATTGATTGATTGATTTATTACAGGTACATACAAGGCAATGGATCAACACCCCAAGGATTTCTGTTGTTTCGGATAGTGTAGGTAAAGGTGGGTACACACTGATTGATTGATTGATTGATTGATTGATTGATTGATTACAGGTACATACAAGGCAATGGATCAACACCCGAAGGATTTCTGTTGTTTCGGATAGTGTAGGTAAAGGTGGGCACACACTTGTTTTGT